TCACGATAAAAGTCACAATCGATAGGTTTCGAGCTTTCAACTGGCAAACACGGTCCCGTCCCCTAGTAAAATAATCTCAGAGGACACGATCACAACGCATTTTCATTGGAAGAAACAACAACACATACAATTGGTCAAAAGGTGTTAGACATGTCTGCCACGCAGGACGAAAGTGCAACGCTACACTGTCCCCCGTTTCACAAACCCTTTCCTCGTGCCAAGGCTTCGCCGTCTAACATGGACAAGCAGCTCTGGGGACGAGAAAAAAAAGAGTTTGGTTCCAAAATGGGGTTTTGAGAGCTGGTTTAGAGGAAGTAACACGTCATAGAATAGAGTGAAATGCGGCGATCAAGGATGCAAGGTACGGGTAGTATCTCATCAAAGAATGTTTTAAAGTTCTAGAGTATGTCTTGCCTGCTTCGCTGATCTAGATGTGAGCTTTCGCCCAACATGAAATACGTAGAATTAATGCCCATCGCGAATTGACCCCATGCAACTCTTCTTTATTTATTTTCTCAACGGGTGTTTGTAATTAAACTTACAAGGAAAGCTTTACCTCTAACGAAAGAGCAGTAAGTAAGGTTTCAAAAATGCATTGATGAGGGCCTCCGGAGGTGTCCTGGTGTACAGTTACACTGAGGGAATAACCATATTGTACAGTTACACTGAGGGAATAACCATATTGTACTGCATTCCTTTAATTTACAAGCCTTTGTTGGTAGATTAGCTGTGTTCTATGGTTGGGTCTTTTGTATCAGTTCTTTATATATGGCACAGGAGAACGAACCGAACCTCCCAGGGGTTTGGGGGATAAGGGAACATTAACTTATGACTGGCCCCAAGTGAAATAGTGAGTTGTGATTCCTCAAAACCCTCAATGTTCCCCAAGACCCTTAATGTTCCCTGTTTCCAGTCATTAATTGTTTTGTTATGGGCAAATCTTTGCTGACGTCATTGTTTACATTTTTCCTCATTAACATATGACTTTGCACATAGAAGGCATCATGCTAAACACGATTTTACTAAAAAGACTTAAAGAGCTTCTGAAACTTAGTAAGGGGTGAAATTTCTGGCTCTTTGGGTGTAATATTCGAGGAGAAATTGGCTTTCAAAAACATCAAAATTTCTGTTTGGCAAAAGCGCTAATGAGCTCATACATTCTTTGTAAAATTTTGAGCTTTTAAACCCTCATCGCACAAAAAGTATTCAATACATCACACTCAGATTCCTTGGGACAGTTAATCATGCTGTGGTCCTTCAACATTCAGTATTAATCTCTTTGTAGCTCCATCAGAAACTGTATCGCTTATGGTAATGAGGCAAATATTGTAAACAAAGATCCTCCTATACATTCCAACTTAAAGATAGAATAATGGCTAGTACAAAATGCAGACAGCAGACTGTAGACCAGGTACAAAAATTATGCGGACTAGGTACAAAATGCAGACCACAGACTGCAAACTGGGTACAAAACACACAATGAAGATAAAGACTGTTTTTTTCGTCAAATATGTGGTAACATGTCATTTTCTAACTTTCCAAGTGTCACACAATTGCTTTTCTGCGGTCATCTTTGATGAAAATTAACTAGCTTGTATTATTAAGGATTATCCTTGACCTGTGTCTTCACATATTTTGTTTTTAACGAAGCGTCAAGGTCATGTTAGTTCTTAAATAGGATTTGAAGCTGTCATAGCCTTCTCACATCGTGCATGAGGTTAGTGTAGTAAGCCCAGACTGGGATGGATCCAGGATTTGGTGAAGGGAGGTTTGGAGAATTATGGCCGAAGGTGAACCCTTCTAAGGGATCCAAGTCATGCTCCCCCCCCCTTCCCGGACTTCTTTTGGGTCTTGGAAATGTAATGTCCAGGGTTTTGAGGGACGATTGTTGGTTGTTTAATATCTTTGAAATCATCTCTGTTTTGAGCTATGTAAACAAGGAATACGTTCAGGTATTAACAATAATGCTTACCTTCCTGATGACATACGTACTAACAGTTCCGAAAAAATGATTAATTTGCTGCTGGCTTTTCTACATAACTCTGACGGAATTCAAATTAAACACTAACTCCTTTTAGAAAAATGGTTTTCCTTGGGTTTTGTGCACCAGTGGCAGTCGAAATCTAGCTTTGTGAATGACTGCACAACTCACTAATGAGCTGATTAACAAAGAGGCTGAGCTTCTGGCCTAAGCAACAGCACCTCACTTGTGAAATCTGTCAAGAGAAAAACTGTTACTTTTGGTGCCATGTAGAATTTGACAGGAGCATGAATCACATGTTATTTTACCAAGTAGACAAATAAAAGAAGGAAGTGCTAAATAAAATGGATTTTAGACTAAGCATTAGGTATTTAAAACCAGGAAAAGACTCTCATCCATCCAGATTATTTTTGCTCTCTTCAAGTTAATCTTCTTTCCGAAGATAGAATATATTATTTGTTTGCGATGTTTGCCCACAAAGGTTCTCGTCAGAAATGGCACGTATTTAAACAATTTTTTATCTCATTTAGGGGATTTGAACAAACCAACCGAACCACCCATGGATCCGCCCCAGCTAGATATCATGCAATATTCAAGAAACAATGATCAATCAGTGTTCATTTTGTAGCCAAATGCAGACTTATTGCCTATGAGCAAGCTCTTCATGGGTTCAAGAAAGAAGAAAAGGAAAAAGGGAAGAAGCCAAACTGATATATTTTCAATGTTCAAGGGTGAACACTCTCTGATTGTTACATAGTTAACTAGTTACCACACAGGGACAAGAAAAGTGAACAAATGACCACTCACAAAAATGACGCTTCACTTTTTCCCATGAGAATTCGAAATAGAGCAAAGTCTTTCAAAGAACAGGGAGTGGAATAAATACAATCAAGCTATTAACAAGCAAGTGCTATCTAACAAAGCCCCCAGGGGTGGGGTATTAGGTTATGTTTTGACTTAATGAAGCATCCTTATTCAACATTTGAGCAAGACTTTTCCAAATCTCCACCTTGTCCTGAGGTGGGGTGGGGTGGGGGATGTTAGGGTTTTCGTTGACTGTCACTCGTTCATTATTTGCTTGATGCTGGCTAGAAACAATGTCACGGTCTCAAGGTACATGACCTAATCACATGCAAGTCAAAAGTTTAAGTTGTGGTTTCCCTAGGGACTTTGTGAGTTATAACCCCTCACACATGACATGTTCTGCTTCAATTGGGAAACATATTTGATTGGGAGGTATATAGCCTGAAATGTCAGTCATCTCTGATTCTCAGCTTAATCCCCCGATGTGAGATTCTGCAACCCTCCAAGTTAACCTTTTTCCTCAGTGGCCATTTGGCCACTGAAAGGTTATTTTTGGTTGACCACCAGTGAAAAATGTCAGTTGCCAAAGTATAAAAATTGATTGATTAATTAATTTAATTAAGTATTAATTGATTATGAGCTTATGAGATTATGCTTAGTTTTATTCCATTTGGTTGGAGCTTGTTTTTAAAAGTGAGTATCTGAGAGTTTGATTGCTATAAGTGAGAAGGCAATCACTGCAAAGATAAAGGTGTTTCTTTAAAACTGGAGACATTGTACTCATGGTAGAAAACTTGTCGCCCCTTGATCGCATCCTGGAAGTAAAACCAAACCAGAGAGACAGGCTTGTGAGGAGAGTCAGGCTGAAAACCAGGTCTTCAGCTCTGGAACGTCCCATAGAGAAGATCGTTCTTGTAGAGGCTCCTAGACTGCACAAGAGCAACTAAACATTGTTGATCTTGATGCTCTCAATAGACTGCGAGCAGTCTCTCTTTTGCTCTCAAGAGCACAATGAAGAAAGCAAAACAAGTGTGGCTGCGAGTGTGACATGCGAGTGGTGAGCGCCAAAGCCACAAGCCGTGAGTAGCGCAGGCGGCTCATGGCTTCGCATATGTAAAATACATGTGATTCGTTGCATAAGATTTTTGTTCAGTACAGATTATATCATGCAGCAACTGTGTCAATTGCATCGAGTTTCAGTTTAGTCCATCAGTTACTTCAATCTACCAGTTTACGTCAATAGGAGGAAATATCTGTAAGTTAAAGATGTGTGTATTATTTATCATGGTGCATGATAGGACAGATGAATTTTACTTAATTGTCTTACAATGGAGTCACTTCAAGGTGTTCATCGTGACATTTCAACTGCTACACTGCTAGTCTTCATCAGGCGATGAGGTTGATTGTTGCATGTCGCTATTTGTAGCACGTTGGTTCGCTGCTGTTGGTGCATTTCGATCCTCATTATTATTCTGACTTGTGACACTGTTCCCTCATAGGTTCGCATTGTAACTGACCGGCAGTATTGCTTTTTGACTGTAGGTATCCATGCTTCAAGAATTTTGATTCCACTACCGTAAATCCTCGAATTAGCGCCCGGGGCGCTTATTTCAAATTTAGGAGAAGACGGGGGGCGCTTATTTAATTTTTCCAAAATCATGGCCTGACATGATCATTTTTTTAATANCCCCCCGAAATAAGTGCCCACTTCAAATAAGCGCCTCTCCCATCAGCCAGAATTTAAAATAAGTGCCCCCCCTCAAATGAGCGCCCCCTCCCCTCCCCTATTTTGTAGACGAGTAATGAGACAACAAAGGATGTATAGTTTTCGTCGTGTAGTATTAGATTTGTACATTGTTTCAGTTCGTGAACACATTAAGTTTGGCAAAAAAATACAAGTACTAATGGTGCTGCGATTTTAACTTTGGGATCAGCTTTTTATGTCGATAAACGGCATATGCTGTTGTTTATGTGGATATGATGTATTAAAAAATGATCATGTCAGGCCACGATTTGGGAAAAATTTAATAAGCGGCCTCCCCCCTCGATTAAGCACCCCCGTCTTCTCATAAATTTGAAATAAGCACCCCGGGCGCTAATTTGAGGATTTACCGTATCTCTATTGATGCTATTTGGATGAAGTCTTATATGGATAGCTTTCTTGACCCTTCGTGTGTACCAATGAGGGCCACGATCAAACTTGACTTTTTTTTAAATTGGTAAATGCCCCGTCTCATTGGTGTGCTCTGAAATTGTGGAGGTTTGGATACAAGCAAGCAGTATGTCTCTGTCATGTTCTTTTAACCTCTCTCACATACATTTAGCTCTCCCTGTTTCTCTGATATACACTTTGCCGCATTCGCAAGGAATCTTATAAACTGTAACACCGTCTAAGTTGTTTTGTTGGTTCAAGGGTGTCTTCAGGTCGCACTAAGCAAGACCTAAGAGTTGTGTCAGATTTAAACACAGCATGCACACCTTGTTGTTGTAGGCAGCTGCGGAGAACCTCTGATACACCTTTGATATAGGGTAAAGCTGCAGTTGATTTAAATTCCTGTGTGGGTTCTTAGTTAGCTGTTACTCTTGTTGTTTTCATAAGCTTCTGTAAGTGTTTCTTTCTTCAGTGATAGCTGAAGGCTTCCTTATGAGGTGTTTAGCACAATTAAAAAGGTATTTCACGATACCATGCTTCATTGACTGAGGATGGTTTGAGTTGTAGGCTAGGTTTTTGTCAGTGTGTGTTCGTTTCTGTATAAAGTGGTAGTGAGAAGACCATCTGCGTCCCTTGTTACTGACGTGTCAAGAAAGGGAATGATGTTATCTTTCCGGTCAGAACAAAATGCAGACTGCAGACCGGGTACAAAATGCAGACTAGGTACAAGATGCAGACTGCAGACTGCGGACTACATACAAAACACAGACTGAGAATGAAGACTGTTTTTTCGTCAAATATGTGATCTACTGTAACATGTCATTTTAAAACTGACCAAATGTCACACAATTGCTTTTCCGTGGTCATCTTCCACTGTTGTTTTCAAGTAATAAGTTTAACATGCTGTAACCTGCCATTTTATAACTTACTAAGTGTTTTCTGTGGTCGTCTTCCAAATTGGGGATTATTCTTGGCCATATTCTTTCTTAAACAAAATTTTGAAAAAGCTTTCATTGTCTTGACACTTAGCACACAAGATTTTAGTATCAAATAACAACACATATACTAGTTGTACCTATCGGTAAATGCCAATGAGTGAATGAACCATTGTCTATGAGGATAATGGTTGTTTAGCAAGTATTTTATATATACATGTAGATGTATTGAATTGTTACCAAATAAAGGACAAACATGAAATAGTTTTCAGTAGAATTTAATTTATATTTGTTTGAAATGTTTAAAATGTTTAGAAATTGTAATTAAGGCAAGTTTGAGTAGACTGTTCACAGCCCTCTATTTTCTTGTATTTTATTCTATCGTTGAACATGCGGATAGAATCAGGAGATAACTGGACACCAGCGCAAAATGGAAGACTTGGCTTGACTTATCGCTTACTTAGCTCGCAAACCCCACCCCTACGTGCTTGAGCTCACTTTACTTGCTTTTTCTTTCACATGGGTAAATAGAGTTCCCTGGTCCCAGAGGTTTCTTGATTTTTCTCTGCATGAGACAGCTGTGAGAGAGCCTCAAAGCGGCCCAACATGAGTCGCGAAGCAGCGAGTTTTCGTTCTCGCCTCTTCACAACTTGCGTTCAGTTGCTTCAAGGCTCTCTCGCAGCTGTCTCATGCGGAGGAAAATCAAGAAAAACCTCTGGGACCAGGGTATAAATAGAGAGGCTGTGAACAGTCTAATTTTTTTTGAAAGAAGCTCTATTTCTTATGTACGTACAGCACAACTTTCTTGTCATAGGTATTTGTTCAGAAATGCCAAGTGATTCTAAATAATGTTTTGGTTTTGTAGTGGACGAATTCTCTTAGCTTTGGCATACTATATATTAAATCTTGATCTCAACACACGGGCACGGTTGTTCAAAAAATCAGATACCCATAACGAAGGAACAGTTTGGCTTTAAGTCTTCTTCCTCATTTCTTGACCCTGTAAAGAGCTTGCTCACAGGCTGTAAGTCTGCACTTGGCTACAAAATAAACACTGATCTTGACCATCATTGTTTCATGAATATTACATGTTATTTGGGTTTACTAATGACCTCGCACGGGATGTAGGAAGACTATGACAGCTTCAGATTCTATTTAGAACTAACATTACCTTGACACTTTGTTAAAAACAACACACATGAAGAAACAGGCCAAATTTTTTGTCAAAGGTGACCACAGAAGAGCGATTGCATGACACTAGGTAAGTTATAAAATGACATGTTATCAGGTATTTGACGAATAAACAGTCTTTATTCTCAGTCTATGTTTTGTACCTAGTCTGCAGTCTGCAGTCTGCAGCTTGTACCCAGTCTGTATTTTGTACCTGGTCTGCAGTCTGCATTTTGTACTGACCGGTTATCTTTCTCGATTTCCATGATAAAACGAATAGTTGGATGTTGACTGTTCAGATGTTGTAGAAAGCCATCAGCATTGTTTCAATCTAAGATTCTAAAAAGTGTCATCTACGTTTTGCTTCCAGACCTTAAGTTTGCAATTCGTAGTAGTTATCACCTGTTCTGAAGCAGCCATGGGGAGCCCTATCTTCACAGTTATAGCTAACCTTTACATGGAAGAATCTGAGGTGGATGCGTTCTAGAAATTACCTCTAAATCAAAGTGAGCAATTTGTTTTCAAATCACCTCTTGGTCTGATGTCTACATTAGCTTGAAGATAACTGCTGCTCAAGTTTACCAGGACTCAACTGAAAGGAAATTATGGCCACTAATTAGAGTGAAGAATCAACCATGCACAATCGAGGCAGGCGACCTACATGTAATGTGACCTGACAAAGGAATTTGACACGAAAACTCTCTTGAACTTTGCACAGCAAAGGCAACCGTTACCAAGTAGATCAAAGAAGTTACAGAATACATTTCTTTTTCTGGAAAAAATAATTCTATGAGATACATTTGTACGACTGTTATGTCATGTTTTGATGTTAACTCAGCATGAATTCAAAACGTAAACAAAAGAACAAGCTTAAATTTTGGCCTGTAAGTGATTTCAAAAAGCTCCCATTTGATTTACGTTCATAAAAATCTTCTTGCTCGCCAAAATGAAATTCACTTTGGTTTGCAAAATTTCATAATTCAGGCTCCGTGTCAATGTGAAGTTCTGTTTTTTTATCTTTAATTTACTGTCAATGAACTCAGACCACAGGGAACCTGAACAACATAATTATTTTCATCCATGTAAAATAAATAAACTGCTCTTCACTAGGCTGATTAACTAGCTAAACATTCTTTCTAGGTCAATGTCAAGGAAAAGGTTGTCATTCATCGTGGTAGATGCAATAATAAAGTGTATTATCGTTTGTCTCACGATGTAGTCACTGGAGATGTAGATCGCGACGTTTCGACTGCTTACTGCTAGTCTTCTTCGGGCAATAAGGTCGACTGATTGCACGGTATCATTTATATCACAAAGGTCGGCTGTGATTGGTGCATTTCGATCCTCCTATTGTCCCGTTGTTCCGGCGAGTAGCTGTTCCCTCGGTGGTCCGCTGTTGTACCATTCTCCTGTTGTTGTGTTTCTTGATCGTGGGTATCCATGTCTCAGGAATTTCAATTCCACTATCCCTGTTGATATTATTAGGGTGAAGTCTTATGTGAATAGCTTCCTTGACCCTACGTGTGTACCAGTGAGGATCTCGATCAATAAACTTGACCTCATTCCAGATAACATGGTGGCCAGTCTTGTGGGTGTGTTCAGATGTTCAGGTGTGTTCGGATATTCAGGTGTGTTCGGTCTCGTGGGTGTTTGTTTACAGACCAACATTCTCTAGTTAAATGTGACTTCTGTTTCCATTCATTTAGCCGGCTAACCAGGCGATTCAAATTCCAAAACCGCACAACTTTCAGAAATCACTGAGAGAGGAAGCGCTTTTAATGACTTCGCTAACCAATTCTGGTTTGAAATCCTTGTGGACGGAAATTTTGTTCAAAAATGGTGGAAAGAGAGCTTCAGACTATCTAGACGTACATTTGAGCGTATTGTAGCTGGTCCTGATTTGGCTTACTTTTTTGCCATGAAAACAAACATTGTCGAAAACACTACCAAATGAGACTGATGCAATCTGGACACCACGGGGTGCAAGATACCATGCAATCGCAAGTGGACTTGATATATCTGTCATCTCAACCATGGTTACCGTCCTAAACCATGGTTGATCACAGGGTAGATCGAACTTTTACCTTGGTTAACTTTCTATTGTCTTAAGTGGCGTTAAAAATTTTCAATGAAATGAAAACATCACAATGCTTTTCATTGCCTGTAAATCAGCTAAAAAAGCTATGCAGTCAATAATAAATTCGGTCCAGCTCCGGGTGCATCATGGCAGAGGTAAAGTTACTTGTCAAGTTATGTATTGAGGAAAACAGCTTTGGATTGGCAGCTGAAGCATATTGAAGTTTAGCCAGACAGTGTTGGTCTGTATTTTTTTAAAACCTTCAACGTGGCCCGATGACTACATGAGATTATGCAATAATATTCCACAATCTCACAAAAATTCGTAAAGTTTTGCTTGATTTTATACAAACTTTTGTTGAAGTTCACATGCATAAAACAATTTTTGTTTGAGCTCCAATAGCAACACTGACTCTTGTACTTTGTACAGAGACCAAACTTTATTTCGGAACCTATGTTGATATACCTGATTGTGTAATCAAAGCTTCTTACAGTTTCAAAGGTAAAAACATGAACACTTATATTTTGACTCAGCCTTCATTCTTGGTGCAAATGTAATTAAACAATACAACTTCATAAACTTGCCACCAGAAACTTTACGTAAATAGGTTATTTGCACTAGTGACCTGAACTGCAAAATATTGAAATTACTGGTAGATCTGATGCATCACATCTAATTGTGCAACATCTGATGGTTCAACATTTAAAAGCATGGTACATATCACTTAAGAATATAGCATAAATTCTTAGAAGAAGATGAACTTTGTATGAGGTTTCAATTATTGCTGATGTTTCATTTGACCCATTGATGTTCATTACTTCCTGATTTGCCACTTTAGAAAGTCAGAAATTTGGGATCTTTCTCTGAGCACTGGATGCATGAATTGCATTGTTTTACCTTTGCAGATGTTACTTTGTATTTTAGAATAGTGTTGTATCTTGTCTTTTTTTTTCTGTTGTCTTATGTCATCTGTGACCAGCACATACAGAAGGAACTGAAATTTGAAGTGAATATCATTTCACAGTCACTTGTGGATCATTACTGGGGACAATATAGCTTCTGTTTTGTTTGATCCCCAGTAATAGTCCTACAAGCAACTACAGCATGAGCCTTGCATCTGATTTCTTCTCATTTTTAAAGTAGCATTATCTCAGTGAAGATTTCTGGTAACATCAGTGAAATTTTGTGAGAACAATGGATGAAATTTGGTGACCTTAAAGTGCATTTCTTTTTAATTTACACGTTACTGCATTTGGTTGTAACTTTGAGCTATTTGAAGTAAACTTTCATCAGATACATTCAGGATTCTTAATTTTCCTGGTAAAAATAATTTTATAGACTGATGTTAATTACTATTATATTGTGCTTTATTGTTGTTAGATGCTAAGAATATAACTGAAGATCAAGACCAATGTGCTGTGGAATCGGCTGCAGAAAATAAGATGATCAAGTCTTCAGTGCAGCGAGGTGATCTGAGTGCTGGTATTTCATTTCATGAGAGCAAAGCAAGGGCTGACGAAAAGCTCATTAACTCAAAGAGGAGTTCAGAAGAAAATGTCACTGGGAAACTGACCAGAAATGTTACACTCCTACAGGGAGTCTCACTTATTGTTGGCATTATGATTGGTTCTGGAATTTTTGTCACTCCACGTTATGTCCTTCTACATTCTGGCTCTGTGGGAATGACACTGATAGTATGGATTGCGTCTGGTGTGATGGCAACACTTGGAGCTTTGTGCTACTGTGAATTAGGAACACTGATTCAGCGTTCTGGTGGTGAGCTAACATACATCCATGAGGCTCTTGGCCTTTTACCTGGTTTTCTAGTTAGCTGGACAATGGTCTTGATTTTAAAACCAGCCTCGGTAGCCATCATCACACTAAGTTTTGCCTCCTATGCTATCCAGCCATTTTTAAGCAGCAGCAGCAATGAGCCCGAAGTCCTTATTAAATGCATTGCAGTGATTTGCATCATTTTGATCACATCTGTCAACTGTGTGAGTTCTCACTGGGCAGGCCAGATGCAGATTGTTTTCATGATTATGAAGTTGCTTGCAATTGGGATAATAGTCTTCATTGGTGCTTCCAGAATTGCCGAAGGAAAGTATGAAAATTTTGACTCTCCCTTCAAAGGAACTAACCAGAATGTTGGAGAAATTGCACATGCTTTTTTCAGTGGCTTGTGGGCATATGATGGTTGGAACCAACTTAACTATGTCACGGAGGAGCTACAGAACCCTCACAAGAATCTTCCTCGTGCAGTCATGATTGCTCTACCTCTTGTAACACTTTGCTATACACTGGTAAATGTAGCATATTTAAGTGTCTTGACACCAGCAGAAGTGCTGTCCTCCAGTGCAGTTGCAGTATCTGTTGCTGAGAAAGTGCACCCCACCTTAGTTGCTGTCATGCCACTCTTTGTAGCTTGTTCTTGTTATGGTGCAGCTAATGGGTCCATTTTCACTAATGGGAGAGTTGTATGCTCTGCAGCCAAAGAAGGCCACATGCCTCGTTTTCTGGCCAACATTAGTGAGCGTTTCAACACGCCATTACATGCCATAATGTTCCCATCATGCATTTCCATCTTCTTGTTAATGCTTGGGGATTTGGATTCTTTGCTAAGTTGTTTTAGTTTTGTGGCATGGATTTTTCTTGGTAGCACATTCCTTTCACTGTTGGTTCTGCGCTGGAAGAGGCCTCATGAGCATCGCCCTTACAAAGTGTGGATTGGAATTCCCATTGTCATGGTGGTGGTGTCTTGCTATCTTGTTATTGCACCACTTTTGGCCAAACCTCAGTCATCAGCAGTTGCACTGACCTTTGTTTTGTCCGGTGTCCCTGTGTATTTCTTCTTTGTCAAACGCAATACAGCACAGTGAATTCAACTTTTCCGTTTTATTGTAATGACGGACAATGTACAGTTTCTAATTCTTTAGAACTGTAACTTATCAGGCATTTTAAGTGAGTGAAAGTGTTATTGAGTTAAGGTTTGTCGCTGCAAAGAGTGATTGTTGGTGGTGTAACAAAGGGGCTGGGTCAAAAGGCTGTTCAGATGACAATTTGACGGAGTAATTTTGGAGGAAGAAAGTAACAGTAATAACATAAGGTGATATTACCAATGGAGTTCATAACGGGTCATTTTCACTCAATATGTGATTACAGCTCTCCCTTATAGGTAAGGAACAGAATGCATGGGAACAGTTGAACTGTTAGGTCATTATGTACAAGCACTATATACGGCATATTAGTTACAGTAATAGTGGCCTTAAACATGTTAACTTATGGTTTTGTCACCCTCAAATGTCATTCATTTCCTATTCATGGCCAGTTGTTGATCAAGCTTCTGCCCAGTCTCTTATGCAGAGGAGCGTTGCGTTACGACCTAAGTGACGGCTGTATAACAGACTAAAGCTTCTGTCTGCAGTTTGTTGGTTATGGGCTGAATGCTAATTGCGGAGAATCGCGTAGCTTTGATTATTGAAATACAAGTGCGAGTGGACCTTGCTCAACAAAAGTTGGGGCTTGGATAACGGCTACGGCCTCGAATAGTGAAAAGATTGTCACACTGTATTTGAATGATTATCTGACCGATCTATGTTAACAAGAGGGGAAATAAAGAATAATATTAGAAATAGTTTGTAGGCTTTATTTTCAAGTGGAAACAAAGGCAAGGCATTTCAAAGTTTCATTTTCATTTCGGTTTGAAATGTGTCCGTAGTTAGGTTGCTGAGAACAGTTCCCATCACAAGGAACTTTACTGCCAATCGTTATCAGATTATGCTACAGTAACTGCATCACACATCTCCCCAGTCATCGGTATACAAGCTGTGCATATCTTTTTTCAATATTAAAGGTTACCATAGCAACGGTACAAACTGTAAAAAATGCCCTTAAAAGTTAATTATTTAACAGACTGTGCTGTTGCTGTGGTAACCTTTTGTGTCATGAAGATGACCACAACTTGTTCACCAATGATTGGGCAATCACGTGATAATAATATTGTAACATCTGTTTAGGAGGATTGATATTGTCCTGTCAAAGTATAACTCCCGAAATCTGTTGCTAGCCAAATTAAGCTGACCATAAAATGTTGATCACATGATAACAAATTGAACTTTTTGACAAATCTGTCAGCTTTGACGACGATGCTTACGAAGCTTGGTAACGCTATGGTTAGAATCCACGCCAACCTCGTCCCCAGGGTCTTCTTCGCGCTTGACCGCGCTTGAAAATGGATAAAGTCCAGTCTGTGAACTCTCTAGAATAGATCTTGTAAGATAAATAAATATTCGTGAAAAATCCTTCAAGTGGAGCACCAAGGCGCCGATATTGACCCACAAACGATGTTCTTCCATACGCGTTGTTAAAACAGATTACTATTTATTATTTATTTATTATTTATTTATCACTATTTTTGAGATACTGTCACGACATGGTGGCTGCTTAACATCACATTCATGAGGTTAGCAACTTGACGTAATTTCTTTCCTGTCAGTTAAACTACTGTATGCCTCAACCGTGTGGACATCCTGCTCTGTAGAAAACATTCAGAAAGTGTTCAGGCTACAGAAACGCGCAGCCCTTCTGATACTGGGTGCTGACACAAAAGGGAACAGTGTGAAAAAATTAGGCTGGGTTCCCTTTTACCATGACGTGAAAATAAATAAGTCAATGTTGGTATGTAAACGGATTTTAAGGGAGTGCCCATCTCATCTTTCCCAGATGCTTGTTAGAAATGTAGACGTGAACAGAAGAACGAGCAGGCATGGTCAATTAAACCTTGTCTGCCCCCGGTTCAAATGGGAGACTGAGGGTAGAAGGTCTTTCACAGCATCGACTAGCCGCCTCTGGAAAATGATGCCTGCCCATATTAAAAACCAACCTAATCTTTCAAGCTTCAAAAAAAAAAAACATTTTTAAACATTTTATGGACAGTTATAAGGAATTGGACCATTTCATCTAAATTTTTAATTTTCTTGTTTTAATTGTTACACTTGATCCAATGCTTTGCTTTTTAATATTTTAGTGTGTCTCATATCTTAGTTCTCTATATTATCGTCACATATTTGAGACTCTTTCTACATTTTTAAATCTCAACACGTCATCTTTTTAATTGTAAATATTTACATTAAAGCCACTGGTTTTTCAGTGGTTACTGTTGTGTGCTACCCTCAATAAATAAGGTTGTTTATCATTACTATTATTACTAATTATTATTATTATTAATTATTATTATTATTATTAATTATTATCATTATTAGAGCAGCTTACGACGAAAATACTGAAGCAAAATTCCAACAGACGTGAAAGTATTGAGTTGTGGACCAAAAGCATCAAACATTTCGGGAATTTCGGACGCCATTTTCCCGCGCTACATCGGCAAAAATCCTCGCAGCATGTACGCGCGTGTGCCGCACGGGATGGCGCAATTTGTTCTAAAAATAGAAAAATTGTCCCATATCATGGGGACAGCCCCAATACTAGGAATGGGGCGCGCTTACGGTCTCCGTCCCCGATTATGCCTCCTGTTATTATTATCATTATCATTATCATTATAGTGGCGTCCTTAAAACAAGGACTAGAGTGTAACATCATTCTCATATAGGATGCCTACGTGATCAATTATCTATCGTCCATTCGTAAAAGTTTGTTTAAGATCTTCTCTGGAACTTGCACGCTGGACTGTGCCTTCTCCGCATTAACGCGGTATGGTACCCTCAATATGGACCAAAAAGTTTGTTTAAATATGGTGAAGAAAGATCAACTGTGTGCTATTGCACTCAAGAAGAGAAATTAAATTTCTAGAGTTTTACTCAAAATGGTTGCTATGGAGACCAGCCACAGCCTTTTGAAGTAGTGTTTTATAGTATTGACGCCAACACTTCCTACTCTTTTACAAAACGAGAATTGACTGTCAAATAAACATATCATGTAAGTTTCTGTTTTGTTCTGTGATATGAATCTAAGTTTTGACAGTTAACTCATTTTCAGTGCCTTCTACAGCTTTATTTGGAAATAACCTTATTTTTTACCACACCCAGTGGACAAATCATCTCATGTCACGTGACAGACCTTAAAATGTTACGATTTTTTTGGTTTATATCATCACGACACTATTGGTCTTTGATGAGCCCAAGTTTCAGAAATTCTACTTAAAACCTTGCAAAGTAGAAATGTTGGCGCGAAGTCAGTCGGTACAAAAGTAAACTTTTGAGAAAAATGCACTTTAAGTTTCTTACACGAAGTATTAA